ATGTTTAGTGAGTTTAATTTAATATATATGTTTGTATTAAATATGTTTTCGTTTTTTTAATAATCACTCCATATCAAAGTATACTGTTATTTGTAAAAGAGGGCGTTTAAAAGCAGTGGCGGAACTTCAAATTTTGGGCCCCCTTGCAAAATATTTTATATACCCCCACCACAAAGAGGTGTTTTTTTACATTTTTATAATTACTGTTTTTGATTAGTTTATTGTTGTTTTACATTTTATTTCTTTCGATTTTTGGTCAAACGTTACTTTAATACAGGATTGAAATTTTTAAAATTGATAATAGTTTTTAAACACTACAGTTCCTTCAAAAAATATGGATCCCCTACTGCCCTGGACCCCCTCCCCTCGCGTTGCGGGGTTTTGCGGTATGGTAGTTCCAAAAAAATATATAAAAAAGTGCCTCGCTTGCCTCAAAAATTTATTAAAAAGTGTGAAAAAAACAAAAACTTTAAAACACAATTTCTCAAAAGTGGCAATAGATCAAAACTCCAAATTTGGTATGGTAGTTCTACATGTATAAAATTCATTTGTCATAGGATTTTTAAATTTGCCTCCCTGGTTCAGATAATATTGAGTTTTAAACTTGAATATATATTTTTATGAAAAAGCTTTGACAGATAAAACCACATTGTAGCACCCCCAAAAAAGGAATTTTAAAAATCTTATGACAAATGAATTTTACATGTATGAAGAACATATACTGAAAATTTCAGCTTAATTGCTTAATTTAAACTGAAGATGTTTTAAAATTTAAAAAAAAACTAAAAATCTCAAAATGAGAAAAATCTAGTCAAAAATAAAAATCAAAATTTATGTCTATAAACGCTCCTTAAAAGCTACCAGAGCTATATGAATCTGTTTTTTCAGTATCTAAGTATCCCTTATGAAAAGATCTAAGTTTTTTTCTTTACTTTTCACATATTGAAGTTGATTAACGATGCTTGTTTACAATTTGCTTTTGGTCTTTTAAAAACAGTTTTGGAATAGTTATTGGTCACTGATTCTGAAGTAACTTAAAACAGATTTTACTATATCTTCACCATCTTTATAATGAACTATTGCAGAGTTAATATAAAGTTCAAATGTTCTTCCACTTACAAAAATATTTTTAGGACGAGTCCATAAAGTTGAATGAAATGCTTCATTTGAATTTTGCGTTTGATCATGTAAACATTTTCTTAGCAAATTTTCATCAGATAAATCTTCAAAAATAGGCTTTATTATATTATGAATAAAGATAGGTAAGTTAATTTTGCTAGAGTGTGTATTTGTAGAGTTGTAGTCTAGTTGCCTCTTGCATTAGGAATATTCATTCTTAGGACACATACAATGATGAGTGGTATTCTTTCTGAAATTTGTGCTGTGCAACTAAACTGCTCCTAATAGTTTTTTCATTGCATAAATGTTGTTAGTTTTATTCCTAATTGCAATACCATAATAATTCCGCATTGAGTTACTTGTACTATTAGTCAAATTTCCTTTTCCGTGTAAGGGTTTCACCATTCCTTTATACTTCTGGGCATTTCCAAAAAATCACGCACGGAAACTCGTTTTTACTTTTATTTTCATAAAAATAAAACTAGCGATCTCCAATTTACTCTCATTTAATTCTAATTAATATAAATATTTTGTAAACAAAAAATAGTAAGTATTAGTAATGTTAACAAAGAATAAATAAAGTTTGAAATGGAATCACGCACGGAACAGAAAAACTTCTATTTTAGTTACTAGATAAATAAACTTTAATTCCTCGGACAATATAAGTTTCACCCGTATACTTTTTTTTTAAAATAGTATTTTAAACATTAGTAAAGATTTCCAGAAAGTTACAGGATTGCACTATGAACCATAGAGTCACAGCAATCGTTTAAATGCAGTTTATGAATGATTACGCACGAAAGTCACTCACGGATGTTGCAAATATGTCAATTTCATGTAGTTATTTTTATGAAAATAAATTGCTTGTGAGTATTTCAAGTGAAATATTATACTTCTGCGACTCATATTTAATATATTTTCGATGAGAAACGGCAGTCATCAATTATTTCTAGCTAGAGTATGGCGTTTTGAAAGTTATTGTATATTTTTCAAAGTGTAGCGATATTATTACTCAAAAAAATAAAATTGTAAAAACGTGTATATTTAATTTGTTCAGATAGCCTAAAATATGATTAAAATATTTTTGTTATAATTGTTCTTTAAGAAAATCAAAATAGTATGCATATTGCATAAAGTCCCAGCTTTTAATTGCTAAAACAAAGAAAAATAAAAAACCACGCACAGAAATGGAAATGCCCTTCTGTACAATTTTTCGCAAGTGTGTACTAAGTTGCTTCTGCATGTCCCGAATCCATTCCAATTTTATTAGTTGAATATTACAATTTTTATATGGATTAGATTCTTCAACTTTTTTAAAAGATAAAGTATCATCATTCTTTAGGCATTCATGATAAATCAATTTGTATTTTTTAACCGGTCGAGAAAAGATTCCCAATGCACCTGCTGCATCCATTGCACCAGATGACTTTATTAATGTGACATATGTGACTGCTTTCTATATGTTTTAGACTGGTGATTCTCTATGTTTTTTCCACATTGAACAACCTTTACAATTACAATTTATACAATTCACATAACTCACATAAAAGTTCTAAATTATGGGCAAATTCATCTTCTTGTTTTATTACTTCACTATTGCTATTAAGATTAGTTTGATCTATCATTAGCCTCTTTTTACTTATGTTGGATCATCTAGCATCTAGTAGATGTACCTTTTTCTGGTGAAGCATTTGAAAGATTTATTCTTGAATATATTTGTTTACATGAGGCTTCTTCTTTCTTTTTTGTGAAAAATTTTTGCTTATTTCTTTTTCCAAAAGACACTTATTATAAATATACACAATTACAACTTATTTGATTTAAATCAAGAGTTGAAAGATTCATAAATTATGACTTTATACCACAACCAAAATAAGCAGTTTAATATGTCATTTATTAAAAGAAAATGTGACTTAAAAGCATGACTAAAAACACCGCAGATCAATATTATATAGGAAAACGAAGCTTTACTTAATATGTTAGTTTTAAAGATTTGTCATTTTGGCCATTTAATTTGGGTAAAATAAGGTCTCAATTTTTCGTTGCTATGGCATTGCTAAGATAAATAATTAAACTAGCTAACAAAATATGTTATTTTAAATCCTTTTAGTTTTATCAAACCTAAACAAGTCATACTTCAGCAGATAGAGGATGAATTTTTACACAATTACAATATATTACCTAATTTTTCAATTTTTGATTAAAAATCTTTATTTTTCATAAGCCTACCACCTTAAATCATAATAAGTCTACAAAAAGATGCTCGATAAAACCACTATGTTACCTTTTTTATACACATAGTTTTACATTTAAAATTGATATTGATATTACCTTTCTTTTTAGCTAGAGATTTTGAAAGATAACATAAAATGTTATCTTTCAAAATCTTGAAATATCGTATTTTTTTTTGTAAAAAATGACATTTTTGATTTTCAAAAAGTCTTTAAAACTAACATATTAAATTACCTTGAAAATCTCTAACTAAATCCATATTTAGTTAGAGATTTTAATACACTAACACACTAAGGACCATTTCTTGAATTTTTTTACAAATGCAGTAAAAGATTAGTATGTTTCAATGTGTCTTTTTGACTAATTTCCAGAAAAATGGCAGCCATTAAAATTTTTTTTTTAATTTAATTAAAAAAAACAAACAATTTTCTAATAAAGACTTTATCTTGTATGTTGAAATGTTAATGTTTTGAAAGTTTTTTATTTATTTGTCACTTAACATTTGAAAATTTTTTCAAATGTTAAGTGACAAATAAGTAAAAAACTTTTAAAACATTAACATTTCAACATACAAGATATAGTCTTTATTAAAAAATTGTTTTGTTTTTTTTAACTAAATTAAATTTTTTTTTTTTTTTTTTTTTAAATGGCTGCCATTTTTCTGAAAATTAGTCAAAAAGACAAAAATCCGTTGGAAATATCCCTAATATCAAGTACCTATTATAGGTACGCTTTTTAAATTTTTTTTTAAGCTAGTGTAGGGAAGACGTGTTTATCAACATAGATTATATTTAGAAACTAGAATAGTTAAACTTTATTACTGTTAGGTTTATTATTTTACTAGATGGCTTTTTTATTGAGTTTTATGATGTCTAAAATTTTGTTGTACTTTGGGCATGAAATAAATGTCGAAGATATGCTCATTTTTTTTTTTCTATACTATTCTTTTTTTAAGTTTTTAATTTATCTATGCATCTGCCAAATTTTAATGAAAAAAATTTTTGTAGCAGGGTGTCTAATTTTTGTCACACTTTTGGTACCTAATTTTCCTATTGTCCAAAATGGTCGCGGGAGACAGAGGGGTTAATTAAACTTTTTTTATATTTGATTTAGATTAAATAAAATTTTTATTAAATAAAAATTAAAAATTGGAAAATATTAATAATGATACAGGTGTTCAATATTGTTTTATTAAAATTATTTGCCTTACTTTAATGTAAAGTTCTTATTTGTTTAATGTTTTGTTACTTTATTATAAAGTAAGGAAACATTAAAATTCATTTAATAACTTTTATTAATAATAAAACATATTTTATTAGTAATAAAATATGTTTTGTGAAGTAATATTTATTAGCTGGTACAAGTAGTATATATATATATATATATATATATATATATATATATATATATATATATATATATATATATATATATATATATATATATATATATATATATTTATATATATATATATATATATATACTACTTATACCAGCTAATAAATATTACTTCACAAAACATATTTTATTAGTACCAAAAAAAAGTTGTTTTCTTTATTTTTATAAATTAATATATATTTATATATATATATATATATATATATATATATATATATATATATATATATATATATATATATATATAAAATAGTATAAAAGAATGTTTACAAATATCTTAACTTGCAACGTGTAACTGGCTACATATCAGTGTTGTTCATGTTTAACCGTGAAATGCAATCAGATCATTTTATAAAGTAAGTTTATGTTTATTCTACTTTATCGTGTTATTAGGATATTTATAAACACACTAAATATTACTTTTCATTTTATTTGGCTGAGATAAGCAGACTCTGTGGGAAAAAAAAAATTGCTTGAAAATTTTTGAAGTTCAAAGTTTAATCTTTTTATGATTAGATGTTCATATAATATATTTATATTAACTAGTATTTTTACTTTTATATGTTTGTTTTGTGTTTTTTTCTGTTTTATTTTGTATTCATGCATTTCAAAGTTATGTTTTAATTAAATTTTAAAATTGTATGCAAAAGATCATGATTTTATTCTGCATTTTATTTTTGTATACTGGCATTTTAACTTCATTAAATATTTTTATGAAGGTTAAATATTTTACTTGGATACATATTATTAACTTAGTATTAAGTTATTATTAAATTAATAAACATTTTTATTATTGAGTTTTGTTATTAATTACAACAGTTTAATTATTGTAAAATTTCCAGGAATGTAAAGACAGGTTCTACTGTGAATAAAAAGTATAAACAGCTACAAAAAAAAAATTTAGGAATTTTAATTAGTATATTTAAACAGACTGTTTGAATATACTGTTACATTAAATTAGTAATTTTCTTTTAATAATTTTTCATACATATGTTAGTATATATCTTAAAAAACTGTATTTCTATCATTTATATTCAATAATATCCATTTATATTTTTCATGTTCAAAACCAAAAGCATTTTGTAGTTTGTTTTTCTAAGTTAATAATCATCTGATACAAGGTATCAGATATACGTTGTATCAGGTTATAATAATCTGATACAAGGTATCAGATGTTTATAAACCTTGATGTTTGGGTTAAGGTTATCTTAGTAAAGCCATGATCCAAGTAAGTATTGTGAATTTCAAAATAGGTATCACAGTTGTAAAGACTTACAAAGCTGCTCAGTTTTATGGCTTTTTAGTAAAAAATTTGTGCTAACAAATATCAAAAAGAATGTACAAGCAACAAATTTTTCGGTTTCATTTTCTATCTGAAAATCCTTTTGCATTTTGATTATATCTTGATTTTAGAAATTATATTTATTCAAATTAATTAATATATTTTTTTAGACTTGGACTTAATATATATCATTTCAAGATACTCACTTATATAACCTTCATAAAAAATATTACATATTCAAAATATGAAAATAATTTATTTCTATTAGTTTTGATAAATATTACCTATAATAAAAATATCAATAAGATGACACCTTTCCTAATGTTATGCTTTTTTTTATTTTTATTTTTTTATATATAAGTTAAGTTTTAGATGTATATAGTAGTTCTATTTGTTTAAGGTTAAGTTATCACATTGGTTTAAAATAAAGTTATTCTATTGGTTTAAGATTAAGATGAGCTATTTAATCCACAATATCTGAAGCTAGGCTGTTCAACAAGCTATGCAAATTACAGTATGTGTAGATTTATGAAGTAGAATTTAAAAATTGAATGAAAATAGAACATGTATAAACATATAAACAGTAGTAATTTTTTATTTTTGTTTTTTAGGTATTGCCAGGCTGTACTTGACAACTTACCTTCCTGCAACAAAATTAAATTTTTTGTTCAGGAGTATAATTAAATTAGAGTGTCCAATTTTTGAAATATTAATTTCAGCAAATATCAACTTGAAATTTCAACAAATATCAATTTTATATTATGTTATTAGTGATCTCAAGATAAAAAATGGACCAATGATCTATACGCTTTGTTTTCTAATAAATCAAATTAAAGTTTAACGCAAAAGAAACCGCTCGCTAAAACTTTTGATATTGATTTGGTGTACACCAATCAATATCAAAAGTTTTAGCGAGCGGTTTCTTTCACACTTGCAGTCATAGTAAGTGGAAACCACGTAAATATAACAATAAAATTTTAATATACACGTGTGTATTAAAATTTTATTGTTATATTTACGTGGTTTCCACTTACCATGACTGCAAATGTGAAAACACGCGCAAACTGGCAATCGGGAGATTTTTGAACAAAAACTAACGCCATGCGGATGTTATTAAACTTTTTTTTTTTAATTGAATGAAAATTTAATTCCATTTCATTTAATTCAAAATAACTCTCAAAAGCTATTTTAAGTTATTAACATTAGCAGGTAATTTAAATATAAGGGGAAAGCAAGGCAACATGGCGAATGGGGCAAGATGGGTTTTCATATAAAAACTCAACAAAAAAATATTAAAGTTGGGTAAAAACTAAACTGTATTTGCATCTTGTATTTTAAAACACCAATTGGTTTTTTTAAATATTATTAACGCAATTTTAAACGCATAAGTTTACTTTTTGCGCTTAAAAACAATTCCTTACTTTCTGTTTCTCATAACGGATGGTGTCCTTCAAGTTTAATTCCTTTAGAAGTAGTTTTGGCGACTTGTGTTTATTTTGTGTTACTTTAGTTAGAGTTATTGGTAGTTTTTAAAATTTTATAAAAATGGAGGCAAAAATGGCATAATAAGTCATCTTGCCCCAGTCATGTGACCAGATGACACATTTATGAACTTTTTATTTTAATATTTGTTTCAAATTGTTATATTTGCAAACTGAAAAATTCATGCAGGCAATTAATCATTTTAATAACATAAACATACTGAGAGAGTATTATTGCTTCACGATTAATAGTTTTGCAATAACTCAGGGCTTTCAAAACGTTCGCCCCACTTTCCCCTAGTTATTCGCGAGGTTCCATTTTAAAAATGCATTGATTTTAAAATTATTATTTTAAAAAGAATTCGAATTCTTTAATTTTCAAGCAGTAAGTTATTTTTGTATTTATACAGTTCAGTCATGGAGAACTATTACTAAGTTAAAATTTAAACAAGTAAAAAAAAACAACACTTTTGACTGTCAAAAAAAAATTATTACCCAAAAATTCCCTGTGTTTAGCTTGTGTTTAGGTCTACACAGAGCAATCGGGAAATTTCGAACAAATTTTAACGCCGTTCGGATGTTATCAAACTTGTTTTTTTTTAATTGAATGAATATTTATTTCCATTTCATTTAATTTAAAATAACTCTCAAAAGCTATTTTAAATTATTAACGTTAGCAGGTAATTTAAATGTTAGTTATTTGTGGTGCCTGGGGTCAATGCCCCAAGTTTTAGTTTCCTGTGTAAGTTGAATTAAGCATAAATTTACTGTTTATCAGTTGTTACCTGTTAAGCATGAGTTTCTCTGTTAAAAAAAACAATATTTCTGTATTTAGTATTGTTCCACATAATAACACTCGATACTTGACTTTCACTGTGCGGTGCGGGCTGTACCGGCTAACACCATCACAACCTGACTAATTAAAAAATATTCTAACAGTTATAATTCTTTTTTGCTTAACCACTTTTATTATGTGTCAAAAAAAAGCCGAAAAAACTAAACAATAATTTCTTAGCTTGGCGGTAGATTTGAACCTACGAATACTTTTCATGCTGACACTAAGATTTATATAGGTCAACGCGCTAAACCACTGAGCTACTGAAAATGTGTAAAATTAAAAAAGAAAGAAAAAAAATCTAATTTATAAACTTGTTATATCAATGTTATAGTTCGATACTGATCAATGTTATAGTTCGATACATCGATAATGTATTAAAAGAAAAACAACGAAACTTAGAAGATCGATCACGCCGAAACAATCATAGGATTGAAGGAATTTACGAGAATGATAAAGAATCATGGGGGGATACAGAAAAAAAAGTCCAAACATTCTTCACCGAAAAACTTGGACTAAAAGATGTTGAAATTGAAAGAGCTCACCGCACTGGACGAAAAAACGATGGACGACCAAGGACTATAATATTAAATCTTCAGAAATATAAAGACAAAATAGGAATATTGAAGGAATTGTATCGACTCAAAGGCACAAATACGTTCGTGAACGAAGATTTTTCTCGAGAAACCGTCGCTATTCGAAAAAAAATTGTTCGCTGAAGTGAAAGAAAGGCGATTGAATGGTGAAAGTGTTAAGGTAAGGTATGACAAAATTGCTTATATTAAAATTCTTTTAAAAGAAATTTTAACGAATAATTTTATGGGCATACCTAAAAAGAAATCTTAAATAAAATATATTAATCATGGCTACAAATGAAAACTTTGAATCTCGTGTTTTTAAAATTCAAAAAACAAATTACTCTACGTTAAAGAAAACTTAGACACTGATTACAATATTTATCACAATAAATTTTCAGATTGTTCATACTATTAATACTTTCCTAGCTAACTAGAAGGGTTTCTTTTTAAGAATGAGAATGAAAGAAATAATAATCAAATGTTAATTCTCCACCTCAATATAAGAAGCCTAAATAGCAATTTTGAAAAACTTTTAGACTTATTAGAAGAAACTAAACATGTTTTTAATATAATTTGTTTAACGGAAACTTGGATTTCTTTAGAAGACCTAAATAATTTTCATCTACCTTATTTTAACACATTTTTAATGGAAAGGAAAACAAATAAGCGCGGTGGTGGAGTTTTAATTTATGTTCACGAAAATTTTGAGCATTGTTTTAGGCCTGATTTAAGCGTTTCTGACTGCAATAAAGAAACTGCAACTATAGAAATTACTAACTGCAACAAAAAAAAAATTTTACTAAGCTGTTGTTATCGGCCACCTGATGGCGTAAGCGAAAACTTTAGCATGTTTTTACAACAAATTATTAAAAAAGGTACCGTTGAAAAAAAACAAAATTTTATAATAGGAGATTTAAACATGAATTGTTTTCTTTATAATGATTAAAGTTAAAAAATTTTATGATGAAATTTTTGAAACGGGTTTAATATCTTTAATAAACAAACCTTCAAGAGTAACGACAAATTCAGCAACTCTAATAGATAATATAATAACTTCAGATATTTTCAACAATGATTTAAAAGTAGGTATTTTGCGAACCGATATATCAGATCATTTCCCTATATTCCTAAAATTAGATAGTACAAACTCTTTAACCGCATAAAGAGTAATTCGAAAACGCATTTATAATGAGGCTAACCTTAATTTATTCAAAAATCAACTTTCATTACTACACTGGAATAACATAAATTTTAATGATAATGCTAACAATATCTATGAGTCTTTTTTCAAAACATTTTTTTCTGTATACGATGCTAACTTCCCAATCATTGAAAATAAAATAACTACTAAGAGCTGCAATACACCTTGGACCACTAAGGGCTTTAAAAAATCGTCCAAAATTAAACAAAAACTATATATAAATTTTTTGAAAACAAAAACACCTAAAAACGAAAAAATTTACAAGGACTACAAAAATCTATTTGATAAAATTCGCAAAAATTTAAAAAAAAATTATTACTCCCAATTACTCAATACATTTAAAAATGACACAAAACGCACATGGCAAATAATGAATGAAATTATTGGAAAACAAAAATCATGCTCAGGTTTTCTGCCACAAATGGTTAGAGTCGATAACAAAAGTTTATACGAACCAAGAACTATAGCTCAAGAATTTAACAAATTTTTTATCAATATAGGTCCAACACTTTCTAAAAAAATCCCAAAGACCAAATCTTTATTTACTGATTTTCTAGTACCCATTGATAATTGCATTGGTTCAGTTGAGTTGTCTTCTGAATTATTATTTGAAGAGTTTGAAAGAGCCTTCAAATATTTAAAAAATAATAAAGCAATTGGAGCAGATCAAATAAATGGAAACGTTATTATAGATTGTTTTGAACAGCTAAAAGTTGTTCTTTTTAAAGTTTTTAAAGCTTCTATCCATCAAGGTGTTTTCCCCGAACTGTTAAAAATTGCCAAAATTATTCCTATTTTTAAAAAAGGGGACAAATCAATTATTAGTAACTATTCAATTATTAGTAACTATACTCGCCCTATTTCTGTTCTTTCCACCTTTTCAAAAATTTTAGAAAGAATTATATATAACAGAGTATACAAATATTTTCATGTTAATAAATTACTTAACATTAATCAATTCGGTTTTAAAAAGGATAGCTCAACTGAACATGCAATTATCCAATTTGTACGTGAAATTTCAAAATCATTTGAAAAATCACAATATACTCAAGGACTTTTTATTGATCTATCAAAAGCTTTTGATACGGTTGATCACCAAATTCTAATCTATAAACTTTAACACTATGGAATAAAAAATAAAGTTTTAAAATGGTTTGAAAGCTATTTGTCAAATCGTAAACAGTTTGTTCCGAGTAATGACGGTTATCATACCAATTGTCTTTCTATAACATGTGGAGTCCCACAAGGCTCAATTCTTGGTCCACTCCTTTTCCTAATTTATATTAATAATTTAAATAAAGCCTCTAAACTAACAAGTATTATGTTTGCAGATGATACTAACTTATTTCTTTCTAACAGTGATATCTTTGAACTTTTTAAAACAATGAACAAAGAGCTTATACATGTATCGAGTTGGTTTAAATGTAATAAGTTAACTCTAAATTCTAATAAAACAAAGTGGACCTTATTCCATTCGCTTTCCAAAAAACGATATTTGCCATTAAACTTACCTAAAATTTTTATTGATCAAAATGAAATAAAAAGGGATTCCGTAACAAAATTTTTAGGTGTTTACCTTGATGAAAACATCACTTGGAATCATCATATCGACTACATAAGCACTAAAATTTCAAAAAACATAGGAGTTTTATATAAAGCACGAATCTACCTCAATAAGAACATTTTAATCAAACTTTATTATTCATTTATACACAGTTATTTAAATTATGCTAATATCGCCTGGGGTAGTACAGAAAAAAGTAAGTTGCAACGTCTTTATCGCCATCAGAAACATGCTATCCGTTTAATCTGCTTTGCAAATCGCTTTTCTCACGCAAAACATTATTTTATTGAAATGAGAATTTTAAATATATACGAGCTAAATATATATAATGTTTTATGCTTTGTATACATGTGGAAAAATGAATTGTCTCAATCTGTCTTCAAAGATATTTTTACTCCGAAACCCATCAACAAATACAATTTGAGAAATAATAATTTTTTAAATGAACCTTTCTGTCAAACGAACTTTAATCAATTTTGTATTGTCTATCGGGCACCACACCTTTGGAATAAAATTGTTTTGCCCAATTTTGATTTCGAACTACCCATTACTTTTCGTTTTGTTAAAAGTAAATTAAAAACCCTAATTTTTTCATTAGAAGACGTATTATGTTATTATTAATAATATAAATTAATAACTTTGCCTTTTCTTATTTATATTTGTAAAAAGTTTATTCTTACTTATTTTGTTGATTTTATATTCTTTACTTCACGTATACGTTTATATAAAATATTGGTGAGTAGATCCGCGTGATCTCTCCTTGGATTATAAAATATTTATTTGGATTATATATATGAAATTTGTAAAAATTTGATACTGTTAATGCTTGTTTGAACTTATTTAAGGTTCTCACGACAAGATCCTTTGATCTTCTTTCAGATACCTTATTTTATATTTGTGAAAGTTTATTATTATTATCATTATTTTTTTTTTTTTTTTTTTTGGCAATATATAGTTGTAATTCGACCAACAAATGTAAAATGAAAAAAAAAAAAAAAATACTTTTAAAGCGGGTACTCTTAAAATCCGCAACTATATTGCATTGCAATTTATAACAGAAATATTTGAAAATCCACAATATTTTCTCTAAAAAAAACAAACAACAACAACAAAAAACGCAAGTATTAAATTTAAATAAGTTACAGTTTAATAGAATTTTATTTTTACCAGAGATGTAATTTGCAAAAAATTTTTACTTTTCCAAGTGGATGATTTTAAACATTTTACTTTTTTTCTACAATTACCTCACTACTTCGAGTTATTAATGCTTAAGTTAAGGAATTGAAAAAAAATATTTTTTAAACATTTATAACGATAGTTATTGTCTCTTTCTTATCCCTTTTCTCCCCCTCTTTTGATAGTTCGTTCTACTTGCTAAAATTTACGTCAATAATCAGCCAAAACCGGTAAATCAATAAAAACAACAGTAATCAGCCAAAACGGGTATTAAAAACTGCTTAATAAGAAAATTTTGTTGAGAGTTTACGGCAGAAAAGTTGCTAAAAAAAATCTAACAAATAGAGTTAACTTATTTAACATAACCAGCTTCCTTGTATATATATGTATGTATATTTTACCGGTTACAATTTTCATTTTCTTACTCAGGATTCTTTTTTTTAATCTTTATAAACCTCAAATTTGTCCTTGTATGGCATACTGTTACCATATCGGGGACGGATCTTTCAATGATGTCCTTATCTGGGACGGATCTTCAAATAATGTCCTTTTTCTTTTAAACAAGGTGCAAAAACGCATTGCAAGTATTGCAATCTTTAAAGTCGCTTTTCAATCTTGCTCTATAAACTTCATCTTTTCTTCCAACTCTAATAATGGTTGCTTGCAGCCTTGTTGGAAGTAAAGATGTCAAAAAAAAAAAAAAAAAAAAAAAAAAAAAACTATATCATTAATAAATTTACCATATGATTTAAACGCGAGTATATGCGGGTTTTTATTTTGATGTGTTGTCTAGTGCCAGTCTTTTCAAATATTATAATGATATATTACATATTGGCAATACACTTTGCATGAAAATAACTCGGCTTTTGTCGTCCTGATTTGTCACAGAGGAACTTGACGATTCCTCATTAATATCTTCTTTCGTCTTGTAATTTGTTGATATATATTAAAAGGTAAGCTTAAATTTGTCTCTTATCGGTTTTTGCTTCTTTTAAATTTGTTTTATAATAAATGTCATGGAACCTAATTTTTAGTCATTCGAACCTTTCTTTTTCAGCGTATTACCAATAATATGCTAAAATACGAAGTAATTACATTAAATTACAGCATTAGATATTAGCCAAAGCAGTTTTTATATCTAGTGCTGTTTCAGTTGTGTACCCTAACTTTTTTAAAAAATAAACAGTTAATATTTAGTGTAATTTCAGTTGGTTACCTCACTTGTGTTACTTTTTTAAAATGAATTGACTTTTTTAGGGGTGTTTATCCAATATTAATATTAAAGAAAACTGTAATATATTTTTAGAATTAACCATAAAAAATAAGTTTTATGCACATAATGATGAAAAAATTGGTTAGCGAGTGCATTACAAGTGGTGTACAGCCACAAAATTCTACTTTTTAATATCTTTTTTTTGTGTTGAATTTTTTTATTTTTATTTTTTATATTTTCAACAAATTATTTTATAAACTTTATTCCAGTAAATGTTTTTAGTAACAATGTTTCTTTGAATATACGTAAATTTTTTAATTTTTTTAATTTATAATTTTTTTGATTTTTTAATACCATCCCAATGTAAAATTCTCTCAAAATTACAAAAAATAAATAAATAATAAATCAGGGTACAAAACTTAAACAGTGCTCTATGCTGACTGCATTATATAACTGTATTAGTTATGTTTAGTAAGTTGTTTTTAGTGAACATATTAACTATTTTAATCTAAAAATGACTTGCTAAACATAATAAAATTTTTAATTTTTAAACATAAAAGACATTAGTTTTAAAAGCAATCGAATAAAGACATTTAAAACAATTAAGTCAAATAAAATTTTGAATAAAATGCTGTTAAAGTTATTATTTACATTATTATTTACAGAATTTCTTGTAAACTCTCTAATAAAAGGTCACACAAAGTTTTTAAACATTTTTATGGGTTGTTTTATAAAGTAACAACATACATCTAACGGTTGTTTAATAAACATGCACATTTACAAGTTAAAAAAAAGATTCTTAAAAATTCTTCAAAATAACATAATCAAAAGAAAAAAATATTTAAATTGTTTATTTAAAAAGTTGATATAATTTTTTTTCATTTAAATACATTATTTAAATATAAAAAAATATATATTAATCATTAATATTTTTATAAAAAGTCATTAGCAGTGATTTGTTACTTTATTTAAATGAGTTTTAACAATATAAAAACATAAGTAAAGATCATAGTTATTTCATTCAAACTTTCAAAATAATTTTTCTTTTTTTCCTCAACAAAATCTTGCTTCTTTTCGAGTGAATTAACTTTAATGATTCTTATATAAATTTTATTAAAGAGACCATCATTGTTTAAAGTTGTCGCTTATAAAATATAAATTTTATATTTAAATTATAAAATTATAATTAAAATATTTAATTATAATTTAATTTTGAATTATAATTTTTTTTATTTTAATTATAAAAAAATCTTATAAAATTAAATAATATAAATAAAAATTTATACAACTTTCATTGTAACTTTATTTAAAATCATTGTTACTTTATTTAAAATCATTGTTACTTTATTTAAAAGTACTTTGCTAATATAAAAATGTTAGTAAAGAAAAATGTGTTGAAGTTATTTATTTTCAACGTAAACAAAACCCATTTTTTTCAGCCCATTTGTTAAAAACCGTGGTCATAAAAAGGTTTGAAATCGCATGCCTTCCTGGCTAACCCTGAATATTCATTTCTAGAAAAACAGACGTGAAGCATTTAAAGAAATTAGAATCCATGTAAAGAATCTTGAAAGAACCAGGACTGACTTTTAAAATATAATATATATCAAGGAATTATAGTAGGAGTGAGTAGGTTTCACCCATTGTTATATTATCTAAAATGTTAAGTACAAAGTGTTGACATTGGATGGTTTTATCCAGATTAGACATATAGACCAAATTGTAAGTCATTACAGAAAAGTTTGCATCAAACCTTAAGTTAAAATAGCCATGAGTACCCACTATTTAGAAACCTATAATTTCTTACTGAAATAAAAAAATGTGTCTTTTCACTTCTTAAATTTGATTTTGTTGATTTTGTGTATTGATCATCAAAAATCAGCTTATATATTTGCAAACGATTTTTGAAGTTTTCAGGTAGCCATTATGGATAGCATGTTAAAGTTTTACAAATTAAGTTTAGAATCTCAAACCACAATGGTTTTATGCTGAAATTTTCAGGAGTTGCTGCTCTCATAATTATAAACCAACCCAGAGTTTCATTAAAAAATTAGGTGGTTCATATTGCACCTCCATCCACTTGGCACGGAATGAACCTCATGAAAACAAATATATGACCTTAATTCTAACAAATGATCTTTAGAAGTTAATTCTAACAAAAGATCTTTAGACTATTTTAAGAGGAGGCTTTAGGCCATTTTATCTTTGTAATTTATATTCTTTTACAGGGTCATGATTTTGCAAATTTCAGAATCAAAACTTCCAAAAGATTTTTAATATTTAAAATTTATTTGCTTAAATCTCTTAGATAAAATGTGGCTATGGGACTATTTCACTGGTGCACTAAAATACCTTGGTAAGATTTGTTTTATAATTGTATATGATATGATAATAATAATAAATATGTGTGTGTATAAATTGTGTGTGTGCATGCGTGTGTGTGTATATATATATATATATATATATATATATATATATATATATATATATATATATATATATATATATATATATATATATATATATATATATATATATATATATATATATATATATATATATATATATATATGGCCAGTTGATGCAATCAAAATTATATGCAATAGCATTAGAATACAGCATTCCATTCACAAACATATGCCAACAAGGATTTTATAAAAATTCTAATTTGTAAAATGCAGACCTTTGTAACGTGTCTAAATTTTTTAGACATGTTACAAAGGTCTACATTTAATTCAATATAAAATATGTGATAAAATAAGAGAAGCAACATTGACTCATGAAAAAAGTAGTAAAATAAAAACCTTCAATGAGTAGCATTAAAATGGACAATCAAAGTGATCGAAACACTCAAGTTAATCACCACTAACTGCAAAGAAAAACACTGAAACAAGATACTTCAGCATGCAGTGCTTCAACAACAACTAAATTGGGTTTAGAAATTAGTCATTATTTAGCTGCTGAGACATCTAAATATCTTAGAGTTGTGGAAAGTAATGAAATTGCAGTACCCAGTTCTATTCAACTATGCACAAAAATGCCTTAGTATGTCAACAACTTCTGCAACTTAAGAGAAAGTTTTTTCTATGTCCGGTGATGTCAGAAGTATGTTGGCAATTAAAAATGATCAAGAAGATTATTTATATAAAACAAAACATTAAAATTAAAATTAGTTTATAGTTTTTTTTGTTGTTGCTTTTAAAAATTTGCCATTATAAATTTATGAAATAAATGATCTCCAAAACTTTGTTTTGTTTTTAACCGAACTGAACTGATCAAAAAGTTTTAAATCAAATTTAAAAAAATTTCAACTGCATAGTCTTATAAATAAGAAAATAGCATTATTTATCAAAACAAAGACGCTAATGTGGAGTCGTGAACATTAAATTAAAAAAAAATTGCCGCCAGATATTATTAATTATAGATTATTAAATTTATGTAAATTTGCGATAGTGGTGTAGTAATAGAGCACTCTGTTTATAAGTAAGAAGTTCTGAGTTTGATTTCCACCACTGGTAGTACCATGCTCAACTTGTTTCTCCTGGCAGCAGCCATGTTCGTCAAGGTTTGTGTTTTGGAGTTAAAAGAGTTTTGACTGTAGTGGACCCCCTTTTCTACTGTAGTGGCCCCCTTGGCCTTGGAAGTGTGAATAACATTAAAAAAAAAATTAAATTCTATTAATCTTTATAAAAAAATTTATTGAAATATTAACTATAAGATTAATATAACAGTTTTTAATGATTTTTAATAATTATAATTTAAATAATAATTTTCGAAGTATTATTTAAATTATTATTGAATTGCAGATAAAAATAATTTTATAGGCTTAATGGGAAAGTCTGGTAAACTTGTATTTCTTGGTTTGGATAATGCTGGGAAAACAACACTACTGCACATGTTAAAAGATAATAGAATGGGTCAACATGTTCCTACTTTGCATCCAAGTAAAAAATTTTATTTTTTTAAATTTAATTCAATAATTTTAGGATGTTTCTTTTTTAAAAGGTTTAGTTCTAGTGTTAACTCATGATATGGAAAATGTTTTATTGTTTTGAATACAACTTCATATTGTTTGTAAGATGAACATCACAGTCTCACAACAACCATTCACATTATGTTTAAACTTTTACCTAAATCCTTTATTCCTTTTTAGAACAGTATTATGTTTACAATTATTGTCTTTGGTACAAAAGACACAAAACAAGATATATTTACCATATTTTTGATATTGAAAATAAAATTGTTGAAATTGCTGAAAAAAAATTTATTAAACTGTCTTTAGCTGCTGAAGAATTAACTATGGGAGGAATGAAATTTACAACATTTGATCTTGGTGGTCACAAACAAGGTTTGGATTTTTATATATTTATTAAAAAACTATATTTTAAAATAAAATGTTTTGAAAAGTTTTTAATATCTGATTTTGATGTGTTAACTTATAATCTTATGCTTACATTTAACTATAGCAAGAAGAGTTTGGAAGACATATTTTCCTGCTGTTGATGGTATTGTATTTATAATTGATGTTGCTGACACACAAAGGTTTCCTGAATCAAAAGCAGAATTTGATGTAAATATGTTTTCTTGTATACAGATATAGAAAATTGTATATAGAAAATATAATACAAGAATATATATATATATATATATATATATATATATATATATATATATATATATATATATATATATATATATATATATATATATATATATATATATATATATATATATATATATATATATATATATATATATATATATATATGTATATATATATATATATATATATATATATATATATATATATATATATATATATATATATATATATATATATATATATATATATATATATATATATATATATATATATATATAACCCTCGGAATTAGGAAAATTGATGTCAGCAATAATTTGCTGACCTCAATCTTTTAGAGGTCGCCACAAGGTCAGCAAAGAAAATTTTATACTAAGGTCTTACCATAAAACATCGAAACAAGGTTGGCAATTATTTGCCAACCTTAAAGTGTTAAAGGTTGGCAAATAGTTGAATGCCAAATGCATGCCAACCGGTTATATATATATATATATATATATATATATATATATATATATATATATATATATATATATATATATATATATATATATATATATATATATATATATATATATATATATATATATATATCTGTGTGTGCACATAAACACTTAATCCTGCTATTAGATCAGCACAGTACAAATATATTTAAATTTTTACTGAATACTGAATAAATACAGATAGTTTTTTAGGCAAAGAAGAAAAGTAAAAAAAAGTTATTTTTTTTTGCTGTAATAAATTTCCTTCATATGAAGGTAATGCCTTTATCAAACCAATACCCTCACTTAAAAGTATGCACTAAACCCCAGAATACAAATATACTTACATACATATATACATACTATTGCTTATAGATAATTCTGGGCCATATGATACTAAAAAAGGTGTAGCCTATCATTTCACTAAAGAACAGCTGATAAAACGTAAAAAAATGGGACTTCAGTCATGTTTTCTGTAGCTTAAAATCAAAATGTGTGTGTGCATACAGGGTGTATAAAAATAGGCGTTCTTTTTTACAACAACAAAGTCTTGACAAATATAAAAAGACTAAAGTTTAAAAATACTTTAAAACCCTTTGCTTTTAATGTGTTGTAATTATTAAGATCTTTTTTGTTACAGGAGCATGAAAATTGTTGATATTTTAACAGTATTTTAAATTAACACATTGTAGTTTAAACTGTGTTAAAAATCATTTAAACTAATTTAGCAAAAGTTATTGATATAGTCTAAATTTGATGTTTAAAAAAGATGATATTTTCTTGTAATTTGTTCCTTAAAATACTCTTATACTTAACATAATCTTTTGTTTTTTTTTTATCATAATTTTTTTATTTTGTTTTTCATGCATTTAATGTAGTATTTTTAATGAAGATTATAAACAATTTATATATAGATTTTATCATTTATCAATAAGATATTTGTAAACATAGTTTATGTTCATAAATGTATTAGGTCAAAAGAACTTTACACATTATTGAGTTAATAAGAAATAAAAAAATTTTAAATACATTTGTGAATTTTTTTTTTTTTATAAACAAAAGCACTTCTTCCTTTTTATAAGAAATAAAAATGTTTTAATTTGTTTTCACATATTATAATCTGTGAAAAAAAAATTGTGAAACTATTTTACATTCCTTTGAAACTTTTACATTCAATGTTTTACTATTTTACATTCCTTCATAACTAAATTTAAATTTTTAAAATCATATTTAATTCAAAATCTTTTAATTAAAAAAAAAAATTTATAAAAAAATGCGTTTCTTGAAAAAATACCAGTTGCGATTAGATGCTTTTTTTACAACCTAATATTTCCTGAACAAGTTTTACATATTAATTTTAAATATTATTTTTTATTATTTTTATTTAATAATTATTTTCAAGAAATGTAATAATTATTTTTAATAATAATTATTTTTAATATTTTAAAATTGATAATTATTTTTAATAATAATTAATTTTAATAATAATAATATTTTGAATAAATTTTACATACAATGATATTAAATAGTAATTTAAATATTTCATAATAAAAAATGTTTTTGATTATATAACTTACTGAACAAAGACCATTTCTTACGTAAAATGCGAGCTGCGTAACGCTTCTTAACAAGGTCTGTCGAAGTATTGTCTTTTTGCAACTAAATAATATTTAGTTGCGAAAAACTGGCCAAATTTTTTAGTCATTTTGAGAGCATTTCAGAAAGAAAAAAAAAGTGCAAAAAGATTAATTTGGCCGATGAGAGACAATTACAAAAAATAAAAAATAATCTAGTAAAAGAAAATAACTTTTAATGCAAAAAAATTTTAAGCAAAATAAATTACGTTTAAAACAAATATTTTCGAAACATCGCTCTTTTATAATTTTTTTATAAAATTAAACAACATTTTTTTTAAAAAGTAACATCCTACAATTGCTTAATGAAGAAACAAATGTTCTTTTATTTATCAAAGAGTATAATATAATTTTTATTTATGTACTTGTGTCTTATTTCCAGTGCTGGATTAAGGAGGGTTGGGTTTAGAGGGGGCTATAGTTCCAGGCCCAGCAATCTTAGGGTCCCTGAAATAGTCATAGTGTCTGTTGTTAAATAGTTAATACCAATACCAGATGACAAGAAACATCCCCACATTATAATGCTTCCACCGCCAAATTTAACTGTTTTAGTGTAATGCGGATCAAGCTCTTTATCTAATGGTCTGCGGACAAACTGCTTACCATCTGATTCAAAGATATTAAATTTAGATTCATCTGGTCACAAAATTGTGTCTTATTTCATATTTGTCCATGCTGAATATTTATGACAAAACTCTTTTCTGGTTTTTATATGTCGATTTTTCAATAAAGGCACACTTCTAGGTGATCTTGAAAAAAATTAGCTTCAACTAAACGTCCTCTAATTGTTTGTGCTGTTACATTTAACTCTAAGTTTTTTTAAATGGTATTGCTGGAGATAAATTGATCTTTTTTAGCTTCACGAATAATTAATTTATCTTCTCTGTAATTTGTTATTCTTTTGCAACCTCTACTTTCCACATATTTTTGTTTAAGAGCGTTTTGAACCATTTCAACAGAACGGTTAGTTATTTTTGAAATCACTCTATAAGACTTTCCACTGCTTTTAAGCCGTTTATTTACTAAGAGCTCGGCTGAGGTGCAATGTGACTTTCTATTCATAATATTCATTTAAACTGTTGCATGAATTAATTTACTAATATACATACTAATATCATCATATCATATTTTTAAATATTTTAAATATTTACAAATTTTTAACATCAGCAATGTTTTTTACTCAAATTGTAATTAACTAAAATGATATTAATATAATATATTAGTAAACTGTAAATTATTAACTGAACGTACATAAAAAACTTATTAAACATGCTATGTTTCAAAATATAAAAGAAAATATTATTGAGTAGCGTAGGAAGGTCATATCAGTTTGAGAGAAAGTGACTAAAACAGCCAGAGTTGGAGATTTGAAGGGTAAGGTAAGGTAAGTAAGAAGTGACCCTCTTCTTAAATAAATATGGGGGAAGAGGCTATTGCCCCCTCCAAATCCTCTTCCTACGAGTTATTAATAATAACCGGACTCAAACACGTATTTGAAAAGTAATAACAGTTGAAAATTAAAGAAAACAATTAATCATTACCGTATTTATTATTTTTTCCAGTAAATTTCCGGTTACTTTAAACAAAATTGTTAGTAACATGAGAAAAATTGAAAAAACCTTCATGATTATTTAAAAAATATAAATTTTAACAACTAAGTTTATAAAAACATAAAAATTAATATCTGTTAACATCAATTGCTGTAAATAAAACGTATTTTTATAAATGTTTATATGGTTTTAGTGTATTTATTAATTTTTCCACCACTGTATATGAATTAAACCCTGATATATATGTACAGATTAATTAGACTATTTATATTGCAGAGTTTGATTAGTGATGAACAACTTGCTTCTGCCCCAATTTTAATTCTTGGAAATAAAATAGATCATCCAGATGCTGTAAGTGAAGATTATGTACGGCAATATTTTGGTTTATATGGCATCACAACCGGAAGGGTACGTTTTTCATTATTTTAAGGTTGTTACATATTTTTTACTTGGTGTTATACACTATATTTGTTAATCGGTGTTATGAGAGATAAGTTAATAATAGATAAGTTAATGAATAATTTTATAGAATTCTACAGCGAAAGATGTCAATTCTCGTCCAATTGAACTATTTATGTCTTCTGTTTTAAAGAGACAAGGATACGGCGAAGGTATTTTTTATCAATTGTTGAGTTTAATTTAATTTTTTCTTTATTTTATTTTATTTTTCTTTCATTAAGGATTTCGTTGGCTATCTGGTTTCATAAACTAATTGCATATCGCTTTAACGAATGGTGCATAACAACATTCCCCGAATTTGGAGTTGGCCAGGATTGTGGTGGCAAATAGAATTCGAATAGCTGTGTAAAGCTCTATTGGAAGATTCATGTTAAAGTTCTGGATTGTTTCATATTTTAGACTTTCATATTGTTATTCTCATAGAAAATTATATAATGGTTTTTTGAAATTTTTGAATTTTTTTTTTCTTTCAAAATGCTCTTTAGTTGCAATAATTATTGAGTATTAGTTATACTTTGTAATTTGGAAATAATGGTCTTTTAATGATGCGTGAGTTGTGTAAGATGCGAGAGTCTTGTATTTTTTTAGTTTAAATTGGTAAGTGTTGTTTATTTGTAATTTGTTAAGAAATGTAACTTTAATGTCTTTTTAGCTTTTGTTTATATTGAATAATAAATGCATTTGATGTTTTTTGTCGAAAATAATTTCTCACATTTCACAATGAATCTTGTAAACATGATATGATGTAATCAGAACATCGATTTTAGAGCGGGGCAAACCACTATAGGGACTAAGCTAGAGAAGAAGCAAATATTTAACTTATTTAAACTTCTAATTAAATTTTGTTTTAGAGAAACCACATAAAAATATATCACGAGTGTCATGGTATTGGGGACACGGGACAAAATTGGTTCATGTCCTAGAGATACACTAAAATCGGTAAACTGTCTATGGAGTTGGTTAATGAGCAAAGCTAATTTTAAAGTTAAATTGAAATTCAGAACTTTTTTTGACATTTTTTGAGTATCAGGCAGTGTAAATTGGTTCAACTTAAAAGGACAGGTCAATTAGTAAATCGTAATTTAAGTTTGCCGTCATCTATTTTATTGAAGTTTGGATAATCGTCCAAAGTTTTGAACTGTAAAAACATCAATTCTTTTGTCTAAAATTCAGTTCATCTTTTGGAAAACAACCAAATAACATTAAAAAAGCACCTGATCAATATTTTAATTTAATAAAATATTTTGCAGTAATACGAAATACCTTTTATATGAGCATCAACTTTATAAAGTTTAAGAAATTTATTAACTGATGGGCTGTCAGGAGATTTGTTATATTGGAAATCCCACCATAGCTCCAATAACCGCAATCTTTTGCAAATCATTTTTATTTAGCTTTTTTACAATATTTATACAAATCAAAAGTAATCTTATTAAAAATTTATCTTTATTCATAAAAAACGATATATACCAATTCTTCTTGACAACAAAGCCTGAAAAACAGCGTCAGTTGAAAAAAAAACAACAACGGGTTTATTACTTTAGTATAAAAATGTTTTAATTTTCTAATCACCAGAAACAACGGTAATACTTATATTAATACCGGCCTTATATATCCCTTCTTCAAATGACTTTTTAGTAATTGTTAGTAAAAATTTTGCTGACGACAGTTGCAGAAGTTCTTTTTACCGGTGGCTTGGTTAACTACTGGCAAAATATTGTATTTAAATAACGTCAAAAAATATCTCGTTTCTGGAAATTTTTGATATATAAGAGCGTTCAAATTTGCAGACCAATGCATAACTTCCTTAGAATCTTGAACGATCTACATTTACAGCAAAGTTGGTCGGTACACTTATCCCATTAAAATGTCTTCATTTTTTACTTTAAAAACAAAGTTTTTTAAGTTATCATTTACCGCACATAATTACTTTTTTATTTCACTTCTGAATCACTGCCTGAAATTTTTCACACCTATCACATATGTCACTCATTGAAAATCCCAATTTAATATTAAATTCAAAGTTAAATATGTCATGGTAAATCCAGTATTTACAATCATTAGGTATAAGATCTGGATTTGCTTTTAAAAATAAGCGATACATTTCTGCCACAGTCAAAGATGAATTCAGACACGGTGGTTATTTTTAATAATTTTTCTGCCATTTCCTAAGTTTTACGAGGTTTTAAAAAATTATTTAGTTACGGACGTAACAAAAACATATTTACTAAATTTGTTATAAAAATTACAGAAAAGTAGTACCATGCAAATTATTACGCATAACTTTATGTACTTCTTTTTGCTAAAAGGCTTTAAAGGAAAATTATAAAAAGTCATTTTTTGAAAAAATTGATGTTTGCACACTCCCAATATAACTTTGTAAACACAAATCTGATTGGTTTGTATAAAAAGAAAACTCATACGAAAATTGGCGGTGTGTTTAATTCACGGGGTTAGTGGAGGTGGCATTTAAAAAAAAAGACGGCTAAAATAAATCATCGTTTTAACCACACGTGAATCAAGTACGCCTCCGCCAGAAAATGAAATATATTAAATGGGCTAAACCAAGGCCTTCTAAAGTAGAAGGCCCGCTCATGCGGAATGTGACGTCTCGTTTGTAGTCAATTGATATTTGTCTTGTTTTAAAAAGGTTTATTTTTATTATAATTTTTTGCAAGATAAATTTTTTATATTTCGTTCATCAGCTATTTTAAAAGAGGTGATAACCTTCAAAAACAATTATATCAAAAAGACTTTTTGCAATAGTTGTATTTGATAGTGTGTACATATGGCAAGTCATACAATATAAAGTATTGAAATATTACAACTGCATACACCATCATTCATCTCAAGAAACTCTAAACACTTAATTGAAAAAGAAATTAGGATTTGTTTGAGCTTTGACATCAACTAATACTTTAGATAATATCAAAGAAAAAAAACTTAAAAAAAAAACTTAAATTTTAAAATTTTTTTTTTAAATTTTTCAAACTTGTTTAAATTTTTAAAATTTTTTTAACAAACTTTTATTGCAACTAAAAACAGAATTCTATTTTTAGCTGCAATTATCAATAAAAACATCTTCAGAATTGTCTGTAGATTCAAATGCATTGACACGATTTCATCCAGAAATAAAGTCTAAGAATAATATACTGTCGTGTTTAGTAGAAATCATGTTTAAAAGAGCTAATGATTTTTTTTCTGATTTTTTTATCTCTTGAACTGATACATGATAATTTCTTTTCGAAAACTTTCGATAAGAACCAAATCGTGCTTCCAAATATTTTGTTTGAAATTTTCCTGTCAATTCATAGAAAAAATGCAAACCAGTTAGCATGTATTTAATCAGTTCAATAAAAGTTATCTAGTGTGTTTTCAAGCAAAAATAGTTTGCTTAGTTAGGCAGCCGTGTCTGCTTTTTTGTTAAAAATTTTCCTATCCTTGAATTCAAAAGAAAAAATATATATATTTTTTTAAATAAAAAAGTCATAGTTTAAGTCATTGATAGGGTTAAGAGCATTATTTGTCAAGTTTGAAGCAAATTTAACAATATTATCTTTTCAAAGTTGTGCAACCGTCAAATATGTTAAACACATGCATTACATTTAAAGTTATCAGCAAAACCATATAACAATATTGATCATTGTCAAGTTGTCTCAGCCAGTTATTACGAATACATTTCAATAGATGTTCACTATTAAATAGAAAAACAGTTTTCTTGTTGAATCATAAGAATGTTGAATAAATTACTTAAAATCACCGCTACAAAAAATTACTTAAAATCACCGCTACAAAAAATTACTTAAAATCACCACTACAAAAAATTACTTAAAATCACCGCTACAAAAAATTACTTAAAATCACCGCTACAAAAGACAATAAACATGTTTCAATTAATCCGACTAATGTCTGAAATTAAAGAAAGAATTTTGTAACCATAATTTTTTATCATTTCAACCACTTTTATAATAATGTCTTTTAGATAGACTGCAGTCATATTATCATCTGTGACGTCTTATCATCATCTGTGACGTCATATCATCATCTGTGATATGCATTTTTGATAAAAACTAAAAGCTAGAGTATCAGGACTATATCGAGGTTGATAAATCAACAATATTTTATTTGTTCACGTAAAAATAATAAAGATTTATGGACATCTGCATAATATTCATTACTGTCTTTAACTCGTTCACATAGATTATTTAAATTATATTTAGCTATTAAAACATAATCTGAACTGGACATGATATTTTTATTACCAGGAAAAATGTGTTAACATAGTGGACAATCGAGTCAAATAAGAAAGTTTACATTCATTGTTAAGTACCTTAGCCACCAAATTGTTGTCTATCTTCAAATTACAAGTAAACACTCCAACAAGTAGGTTATTGTAAATATAAATTTTATTGATAAATAAAAAGGAATGTTAGGAAATAATGATGGGTAAGCATTTTGTGTTAATTTTAGTCTTTTTCTCTCAACACATATTACAGAAACATCATCTCGTTCCAAAAAACATCTTATTTAACAATAAATGTATGTATGAGAAATTTTTTACACACAGCAGTTCTATTTGAAGGAACTAAATTTTCTCCAGGAATTTGACAAATCCATTCATAATTAATTCATATTTGAACCGGTTGAAAACTTAAAAACACTAACTATTTTACACTTTAATAAAAATGATTAAAATGTATTAAATTCATTATAAACTGCATTGAAAATATGAAAACTAAATCTTTAATATTTACAAATTGATATTTAGAAACAAATAGATAGTCGAAAAATTTAACATTGGACTACTAAAGTGACGTCACAAGAGTTTTTTCATTCCATGAGCTCCTACTTTAGAAGGCCTTAGCTAAACAAGAAGGTCTAGTTGAGGATTGGGTTGCACTTGAGGGAAAACTTAAATATAATTATTTTGTTTATAGTGCACTATATATACAAGTGCTATATGAATGAAACAAACAAAAAACCAAATATATATAAATTAAAACAATTATACTACATTATATACATAAGCTTAATACAAACATGAGAAAATAATTGTATATATAATGCTAAATTTAAAAAATATGAACATACACACTATTCATACAGTTTCTAATACGTGGAAAAAGTGGAATATTGGTATGTGATAACAACAAATATAAACAATTAAATTTAATTATGTTGAAATAATGCACGAGACTTTTTCAAATCTGGACGTTTTGTCGAAACGTTGATTTTGACATTTAATAGGCGTTTGTGTGTTTACTGGGATAGAATTGGTTGTATAAAAACCAAGGCTTTTTGAGATTAATAGCAACTTTATCAAATGTTTGACCCTGACTTTTTTTATTGTCATTGATTATTATCAATAAAAGTGTCTTATTTAATATTTTCCTTATTTTATATATATATATATATATATATATATATATATATATATATATATATATATATATATATATATATATATATATATATATATATATATATATATATATATATATATATATATATATATATATATATATATGAAATTATTTAGTGGGAAGAGACTACTAACAAAAAATCTAACATTAAAAAAAAAATGATAATAAAAACAATTATTCGATGTAATGAGTCAAGTATGAGTGAGTACTAAAACTTTCTTATTGTAGCAAAGAAGTTGCAGCTACATAAAAAAAAAAAAAATTAC